TTTATACTTTTTGTCATCTTTTGAGCAGGTATTTGAGGTGGTTGTCAGGAGAATCTTTTTCAAGATGCTAACACATCAGAGTGGGTTACTGAATATCCTGGTTTGAGCCCTTCTCCTGCTTCTTAGTATCTAAATAAGTTTGACAAAATTACTTCACCTCTGTGAAATTCAGGGGTTTTTTTTTCAACCATGAACTGGAAATAAAACACATGTATCACAGGGTTTTTCTAAATATTAAATAAAGGGTGCAGTGTCTGAGGATGCTGTGCAAGCTATAAAGCAGTTTATGAAGCTATAAAGTGGGAGATAATTATAACACAAATTTTAGAACTTAGGATGCTTTTCTTCTATATAACCCTGTAAAGTTTTCAAAGCTGCTATGGCTTGATAAATTACAGGATAACATGCTGTTAATCATAACATTTGCAAAGTCCTTTTTTTCTTTTATATAAATATAGTAGGCACTCAATAAATGTTTGGAAAAAAGGAAAGATGGTTGGATAGAAGAGAGAGGGAGGGAGGGAGGGAGGGAGACAGCACACAAGGGTAAATAAGAGCTGCTCATGAAGTTTCAAATTTTCCCTCTAAATTTTGTTTTTAAACGTGTTGTTTAGGCTGGCACTGTAGCTAAGTGGTTAGAGCACTCCCCCTTGCATGGGTGAGGCACTGGGTTCAATCCTCAGAACCACATACAAACAATAAAATAAAGGTTACATTTAAAATATTGTGTTGCTTGACATTAAATAAATAAATAAGAACAATATAATATATGAGCAAGTTAGTAAGCTTGTTTTCTGCTATTTTTTTCATTCAAAAAAATTTATTGAGCAACTACCTTCAGCTGGTTGTTGTACAAGATTCAGAGAAGAGACAATTGAATATGTCACTTTGTTTTGATGCCTATTTCTTCTGCTGCTAATTTTGCTCCTTAAACGTTCTGAGGAATGCAGAACGAACTGACACTTGTACAGTCCTGTGAGGGGCCCTAGCAGTGTCAGGGATGCACTTGTCAAATTTCATCTTGAGAATTGCTTCCTGATGTACATGTGCAGCCTGTGAATCTTCTAGGGATGGTAAAATGTGGTTATTCAGAAAGGAGAATGCTCCTACCAACTATTCTTGCTTTTCCTGCTCATTCATGGGCCTCTTGTAGCCACTCTAGGCTCTAGAGGGACACAGGAAAATGAGATTGTCAGCTCCTGGATTCATGTGGTCATCGAGAGCATCCCCCACCCACTGCTATTGAATCAGGGGCAATGATAGGCAGAGCGTCAAGAACCTCCCAGGAGGGGAACCTGGGCAAGCCTGCCTCTTACTGGTGCTGTGCAAACCTGACTGGTGGTTGCTTAAGTATCCTTGGGACTGAATAATCAGCATCTGGAGAGGGACTTTTTGCTCTTGTCTCCTGGTGAGGAGCCACTGTACCTGATATATCAGAAGACACACTCTATGTATCCTATAATGGATCACATTTGTGATCCATTCTTCTATTGTAGAGATGAGGGAACTAGTTCTAATTTGTGGCAGAATTGGGGTTAAAACTCTGATTTTTTCTTAGTCCAGTGCATTCATTATGTTCCATGGTGAACTGACATTTCCAAATATATTTCCTTCTTAGAAGACAATTATAACATCATAGAGTGAGGGAGTATAGAAAGAATATGGGCTTTGGAGTCAGAAAGAACAGATCAAATCCTGGCACTGCTTTCTATATCTGCATGACCTTGGACCAGTTACTCTGATCCTTTGTTTTCACCTCTGTTGAAGGGAATAAAGAATATTTACCTTTAGTGGATGTTGTTGTAAAGATTAAATGAGAGAATATTTAAAGACTTAGCATAGAATCCAGCCTATCTTCAGTCTCTAATATGTTTTCCAGAAACAAAGGAAGAATACAGTTGACTTGAGAGAAAGTTTGTGGTTTGGTGATGTTGGTGATGGTAGTAGTAATGGTGACACGGTTACCATTGATCAAACATCTATTTTTTAGCATTCATTATCAGGCAATCATGTGATTTTGTTGTTTTCTTTATTCTATAGCAGATACGTTTCCAAATTCCATTCTTCTCTCATCCTAACTCACTAGTGTTCAGGTCCTTAGCATGGATAAATCAATCAATAAATCTGTCAATCAGTGAGTCTGCTAACCAGAAAAGAAGCAAAAGAATATTACCCACACATTTATCTTTTCCTCAATTTTTAAGTGTCTATAGAAATTGAATGACCATCTAAGGTTAACTTTGCCTGTACCTATGAGTGGAGCCAATAAATGCGGGCCTTGCTCAGGAAACCTTGAGTTGGTTTATAGCACTGTGGGCTAGAAGCGGTCAACCCCTTTTCTGTCAGGGATCTCAGTATCAGAAGCTTAAGACCTCAGTACTTTGAGATGTGTAGATAATAAACATCAATTGCTTGGATGTTGGGTTTTGTTTTGGAGACAAACCTACAGTCTTAGTGTTTAAGAACAAATACTTTGGCTTCAGATTGCCTGAATATGAATTGCAGTGCTGTTCTTGGGAGCTCTGTGACCCTGAAGAAGTTTCTTTTCATCTCTAAGCTTCAGTTTCTTCATTTGTAAAATAAGGATAATAATAGTCACATTAGTAAGTTGAAAAAATGAGATGTCTAGGGAGAGGATGCAAGAAGAACCCAGTTAAAATTAGCTCATATCTGAAGTTTCTTCCTGTCCTAAACTCCTTGTGTCCTGAATGGGGAACCTATCACTCAAGGTCCAGCCAGAGAGGCATAAGCCACTCTAAGTGCTTATAAAAGGAATCTCAGCTGTTTCTCCCTCTCGAGATGGCCCACATTCTCCCTTGAATGTGTATTCCTTCCTTTACCCCAAAAGCCTCTCACTCTTAAAAGAGCCCACATTCCTGGAATGTGTTTCTGCTTTCCTAAGTAAATTTGTCTGTACCTCTAAAACATCTACCACCACAACAACATCTATTGATATTACTATTGTTATATAAAAGAGGGAATTTTATATAGAAAATGTTGATCAGATGATGAAAGAGCGAGAAGCTAGAGAGCAGCTGCCACCATAGGCCAGCAGTCAAGGGAACAAGGTAGTGGTGGACCCCAGCAGATGCTGTGGCTGTGGTCACCCTGCCAGCAGAGTCTGAGTCAGAAGGAAACAGCACTCCTGGGCCTTTACCTGAGACAGAGAAGGAAGAAAAGGTCTGCTTGGGCCTTCCCTTTCCTCCAGCCCTCTGGCAGGACTGACCTTGACTGAGTTTGGGAACTGCAGTCTGCAGGGGCAACCCCCCCATACTGAGCAGAACAGGGGGCTTGTTCTGAAAACAAATAGGGCCCAGGACTCTTGCAAGCTCAAGTCTCAGACCTCAGTTGCCTGTTTGCTATTATAACCAACACAGAAAGTTTGGAAGAGCTGTACTTCCCCCTACTGCTGGGCCTCTGAACAATAGCAGAGGTGCACTAATTGCTGTACCCAGAAGGTAGAATTTGGAAGAAGTAATGAAAAAAAAATCTAGAAAGCTGTAAGAAGACTGTCTGTGGCCCCTAGATCCCACTTTCTAGAAAGACCTGCTTGCTTGAGCAACTAGTGCCTTCAGTATCCAGGAATTTGTGGCTTTTACCTGGCTAACTTGTGCAGAACTCCACATGGACTGAAAGCCTGGGGAAACCCTGGAGCCTCCATGGTTCTCTCTCTCTGTGTGTTCTGATGATTTGAGGTTTCTTTTCCTCACCAGGCTGCAAGTACCCTGAGTGCAGGGCCTTGTCTTCTTTATCCTTGAGTCCCCAAACATTTGTACTCTCACTTTCTGCCCTGAGCTAGCAACTGTGGTGTAAAGGGCTGCTAAGCATGTGAGCAAGGCTGTGCCAGCTTCCTGCAGCTTTCATTATAGAAGAGGGGCTCACAGCATGTGATGTCTCAAAACTACCACTGCCTCTTCTGTTGGGGAAGTCCAATGGTGCATGAAAACATTTAACAGGGAGACTCCTTTGGGGATCATGGAAGCTCTGAGAAAGTCACATCTGATTTAGGAGTAAATAGAAGCTAGCCTGGCAGAAAGTTGGGAATGGCATCCCAGGCAGACAGAAGAGCAGGTGCAGAAGAGCATATAGTATTGGAGTCTGAGGATCGAGAGGCCATGCATGAAGCTGTTGAGATCAGCGGGATTTGTTCTCTCTGCATCCACATCTGAGCCCTGCCTCGAGCCTATTTCACCTGCCTCGTGTTATAGTTATGTACATTTGCATGCTCATGGCTCCCACTTCATGCCTGGCATAGCATTTACTGCATAGAAAGTGCTTGTTGGATATTTGAATAAATGAAGGTGGAATAGCTTTAACTAACTCTGATCATATCTAATTTCACTTGTTTCGCAAGTATCAGGAATACAGTCTGTGTGGAAAAGCCTGAGTTTCCACCATATATGAGAAACTCTGCTACTGGCAATCTTTAAACTAAAGGATTACCTCTCAGTCACCCTCTTCTTTACACCTGGAGCTCTGCAATAAGTATGCTGAAGAGATTCAGTCGTGAAATACCGCCTTTGCTTTACCTTCTTTGAGATTGACATATGATACATTAAACCAGATTCCTTTTGGCTCTGTTCCTTATGTCACTGAACCTCTGCAGACCTTGGTTTCTTTTCTGATGTCTGTCTCTAACATTAATAACATCAACTTGACAGTATTAATCCCAAATGAGATCACACCGGTTAAATATACAGCATAGTGCTGGTATTTAGTGAGCACAAGACAATGGACAGCCACTGTTTTTAATATGTAAATAGGTACAGTTAACTGTCACATGTCATGCATGGACCAGAGCAAAGCAGGAACAGAACGAGTTTTCTAGTTTTCCTGTGGTAGAGGAGTATGCCCTTTTGGTTTGTATTTGAAATTGGGCTACACACGAGACTCTTCCTCTATGTTTCTTGGCTTTTAAAAGGTATTTTATGATTGTTTTAGTTTTCTTTCCTTCCTTCCTTTTTTTTTAAAGATGATTTTGTGGTTTTACTTTCTCACAGGAGTGATTGGAGCAGATGTGAGGGGTCATGGCCTCATCTGTGAGGGACAGCCAGTGACGTCACGGCTGGCTGTCATCTGTGGAACATCTTCTTGTCACATGGGGGTGAGTGTGGGGCACAAGGGCAAAGCCACCGTGTAGGGTGGGAGGCAACTCAGGGGGAGATACTGAGCTGCTAGCACCTTCTCTGCTCTGCTTCTTCCCAGTTTCCCCTCCTGCCCCCTTGTGCGTGTCTGGCCAGAAGCCTGGTCCTGCCTCCTGCAACCTTGCTTATATTTGCCTGCTCTTTTTCCAAGGGCCAAAGCCTTAAAAAGCTTGAAAGGGTTGAGTCTGCCTTTGAATCCACCCTGGCCATTGAACCCAGGCAAAAGGAGTGAAGTAGGGTCCACGAGGGCAAAACCTCGCTCTCCCAGACCCATCTCTCTTTCAGGGGCAACTGACTCGTCCCTGGCAAGGTGGGGGTGTCTGTTTTCTTTGGCTGCTGAGCCCTTTCTCCATCAATATAAATCCATCTCCCTGGGAGCGTCCTGATGATCTATAGAATTAGGCTGCGTATCATGACTTCAAAAGAACACTGATAAGCAATTTTCACTTTGTTAATTTTTCTCCATGAATTAATGGAAAGGCTTTCTCCAAGATTGCAGTTAAAATTTAGTGCCTGCCCTAAAATTTATATCTTCTTTAAATGCATGAGTCTGAAAGCATTCCATTTCGATAAGTACCCATTTCTACCATATTTTTATTTAAAAGTCATTACTCTGTTAAACTGAGATAGACGACTCTCTGGATTTTTCCCAGATGAGTACAATAGAGGGGGAAAGAGGGGGAGGAGCAGGGAGATGAGCCTGAGAGTAGAGTGGGACATAGCCCAGAGCTGGAAGTCTGCAGCTAGGGAGGAAATCATGTGCTGTGTGAAACTGTCCAAGGACTGTAGGTACCACTGAGCCTCTTTTATTAGTAGATGCTTTGAGTAAATATCTATGCAGTTACTTTTTTACTGATTCCTGTTCTTACATTCTGCCTGTGCTAAACTCTGTGGCATAAGGAAAACATAGGCCCACCCATGGATGAGATAGAGTTGTAACAGATATTACAATGTGATATGAAGACCCAAATAGGTTTGGGTTGAACTCAGGATACTAACCATTTGGTCATGCTCGGGCACTTTGCATTCTATGGCCTCCCATGTTGTCAAGATAGTGGCGCCAGCCAGATTTGGTTTCCATTCCCACTTTCCCCCTTCCTAAGCATGGGTCCATAGGCAAAGTACTCAACTCCCTCAGATTCCTCACCTGGAATCTGTGGGGTCTGATGGCAGTCCCTCACAGTAGGAGGCTGAAACAAGGCTGGAAAGAGGCAGTGTGAGTGCTCAGGTGCATGAGCCCCTTGGAAGGCTGGCTCTTGATTATCAGCCCTGTTGCTATCCGGCAGGAAGGAGGCAGTGACTGACTGCCAGGAGGCATCCAGGGCTGCAGAAGGCCTCCTGCGGTGGCATTTGGGCTGGACTTTAGCAAATACACTTCTTTGTATTTCTTTAGACTCTAGGTGAGGCATTAAATGGAACTTCTTTAACCAAGTGTAGAAGTTCCCACATCCTTCTTCCCCTTCAGCATCCTGTGGTAAAGCTTAGCTGTCTTGGAATCAGAGATCCACAGAGGCCTAAACTCTCTTCCGATGGAAAGTGTCCAAACAGCCATCCAGCTCTTACTTCCCTTGATGTGGGTCTACCCTTCTTCCCTTGTCTTCACTGATCACCAGTTTAAATCTACTTAACTCATCCCTTATTTTCACTGGAACACATCAAATCTGGCTTTTCCTGTCAAATCTGAGTCTCAAGCATTTTTACTCCACTCTCTTCAGGCTTCTAATCAAAAGCAGATCTAAATGAATATAGGTGACTCTGTGAGGCTCCACTTCTCAGCCTGTCTCTTCATGGGATGATACTAGTAGTTTCCCCAAGGTCACAAAGACATTAAATTCTGGAACTAAGAACTTAAATTTTGCTGTACATTGTTCCAATGTTCACACTCCATAATGCCCTGTTGTATTGTGCCTGCTCACCACATGGCCATAGAGGAGTGAGGAACATGGGCACACAGGTCATCATGTGCACAGGAACTCTTGCTTATCCACTTGCTGGCCCCATGACCCCAGTGAGCCTCTTAACTTCTCTGAGACTCAGATTCTTCCTCCATCAAGTTGGGGGAGTGGTGCCAGTCTTTCAGGATTGTTGGAGAGCATGTATTAGCTCCATCTGTACCTGGCACCAGGAGACTGAAATGGCGGGGATTCTTTTGAAAGTTTCCCAGTGACATAAAATGCTCACATGAAGCAACTGTTTGGGCTTTAACGAATTTGATGGGCAGCCGCAGTTGGTTGCAATGAATAAGGGCCATAAAATGCCAGTTTATTATGTCGTGTTATACTGGAAATAACAGCCCCCACCCCGACCCTGCTTTGTACTTGGGAGTGGGAAGGGACCTTCTGGGCCAAGGGGATTAATCACTAGCTTTAATGTTATGTCATGAGGGCGAGACTGTGGTCATGCTGGGAACAGAGAGTGCCTTTGATCTCCCTCAGGTGCTGGGAGCCAGCATGCCAGCAACAATCACACCTTTGTGAGGTCTAGGGGAGGTGCAGGTTGGAGAAACACTCCCAGGGAAACTCAAGGACCCCCTTTGTTGTGGTTCTGGCAAATAAAACCACCACTGTCAGGAAAAAATTGCCAAACAGAACTCAGGGGCTGTGGGTTTTCCAAAAAGTGGTTTCAACATGACCTAAAGAATTCTCTTGGTGTCTGCTCACTTCTGGTGTTTCCAATTCAGTGGGTTAATTGAGACAAAATTCCCAGAGATAATTTATGCTTGATCCAAGTTACTCTTTTCAGATCACCCAAAAGGAATGAATGAATGAGTGAATGAATGAGCAAGCAGTAATTGAGTATTAGTATATACTTAAAAGGTCCCTACCTCTAGGTTCGTGTTACCTCCAGGAATCTGGAGAAAAAGCCTGAGGTTGAACATAAGATGTACTAATCAGGCCTTTGATATTTTAGAAGATACAAGTGTGGGCTGCACATTCATCTTCCTCAGGGATGATTTAATTAAGAGGGAAAAAATGCTGTTCTTTTTTTAACTCCATGAAAGCAGAGCTGCTTATTCAAAGTTAATTACTACCAAGTCACCAAAACCCAGAATAACACGTGGCAGGGGTTAGCCAGAGGTTGAAAAGTCGCAGGGTCAGATGGAGATGATCCCTGTTGCTCCAGTACACTGCCTCTGGAGCTGTCAGGTCAGGTTGGAACTTAGCAGCTTGTCCTCCAGCTAGGTGTCAGGTGGGGGGCAAACCCTGTGGCAGAGCCGGGAGGGGCGTGGAGGAGGTAAGGCTTGTGCAGAACAGTGCCTGTGGAGAGCTGGGGAGTATTGCTGCACCTATTTAGGTGTATTTAGAAATGAGGGTTTTATGTGAACATACAGCTAGTGATTCTGTCACTGCACAGCCATGGAATCTCTAAGAAGTGGGCCCCTGTGCTAGCCCTATTATTGACTGTGAATTTAGGTAGATACTTTATCTTTTAGTGCCTCAGTTTCTTTATTTGTTAAATGTGGGCAATAGTATTTTTCTATAAATTGATGTCAAAAATTAAATTGAGTAATCTCTGTAAATAGTTTAGCACTATACTTGAACATAAGACATACAAATCAGGCCTTTGATTAATACCAAATATAGTGTTAAATATAGTGTTAAATATTAAATATAGTGTTGTTATCTCTAAGATGCTGGCCCCTGTGCTAGCCCTGTTACTCACTGTGAATTTAGATAGATACTTCATCTTTTAGTGTCTTCATTTGTTAAATGTGGGTAATAGAACACCCCATGCCCTAATCTTGGTTTCTAATACCCTGATCCAATAAAGAGAATCATGAGGTCTTGGACAAGGTTGATTCTGGGATTGGGACACAGAATACATAAGATGAAAAAATACCAGAGGCTCTGTATTTTATAAGATAAGAGGTTCATTTAGCTCACAGTTCTGGAAGTTGAAGGGCATGGTACTAGCTGGCATTGGCTCAGCTCTGGTGAGGACTCCTTTGTCTGAGTCACCAAATGGCAGATGTCATTATATTGAAAGGGGAGAGGGAGACATAAGGGTGGGGAGAGGGAGAGGGGGAGAGGAGGTAAGAGGGAGCATGGGAAGGGGCCAGTGGGACCTCCCACTAGGACCCACCTCTTAAAGGTCTCGCATCTCTTAACATTGCTACATTAAGGACCAAGCTCTCAACACATGAACCCTTGGGGACACACTTTAACTATGCTCAAACCATCTCAAAGGTATAAAATAGATTAATCATAAGATTATAATGTTAGGTAATCATAAGATTATAATGTTAATGTTAATATAGTTTCTACTCTCCCCAAAAAAGAGTAGAAAACTATACAGTTCCATTATTTTAAAACCTAGGAGATGCAAACACATAATGACAGAAAGCACATGGGTGATAGTGGTTACCTAGAATGGGGGAATGGGTATAATGAGGACCAAGAGAGTAGAATTACAGGAAAGATTTGGAAATGATGTACATATTTGTCTTTATTCTGGTTATATCTTCATTGGATATGTTGTGTCAAAGCATCAAGTCAGACATTTTAGATATGTACAGTTTATTGAATGCTAACTATAGCTGGATAAAGCTTTTTAAAAAACTAAAGAGAGCACTGTGGGGGGGAATAACAATAGCAATAGTATCTGCAGTCATTTATATAGTTCATACATTATCATAGACACTATTCTAAATACATCCCTAAAATAACTTTTGAAACAGTACACAGTAGGCAATTAATAAATATTCATTTACACTTTTTTCCTTCCTCAGTAGATTCTGTAGCTCTTATGATATATTTATCCTATTGTTTTTGTGCTTCTTGTGTTTTAATCCAACTTGTATGTCAGATGAAGCTGACTTGCTTAGAGGGTCCATGATTCCGGTGCTTTCTCTGGGCCCATTCTGTCTAGTGCAGCACTGGGTGCACAGTGGATGCTTAGTGGCCACACTGCTGGATAGCTTTTCTGAGGGAAGTGTGCAAGTGCTTGTATTTTCTCAAGT